CCCCCATGGAGCGGCGAAGAAACAGTCTGCGATCAATCAATACTAATGCCGTACAGTTGCCCCCGCACGGGGGGCGGAATATGATTGGTTGAAATTTTCCTTTCCGAAAATTGCATAAATTACATTGTTATGTATAATAATTCATAGTTTATTTCATTAACAAACGACGTTTCGGAGATTTACTCCATCTTCAGGTAGGATTACAATTTGAATTGTAATCCTAATCCTAATTCAAATTGTAATCCTACCTGAAGATGGAGTAAATCTCCGAAACGTCGTTTGTTAATGAAATAAACATTTAAAAAAGTCTTACTGTGGTCTATATATTGAACACAAAATATACTAATAACATGAGACTTAGGGAAAGTTCGTTCCTAAACATTTTGAAGAATTCATAGTTGCTTTGCGTCCGCCATCTTGGACTTGTCATTTTTAATAATCATAAATTAATTATGGAAAATACTACTTACGTAACTGTACGGTATTAGTGTTGAGTGATCGCAGACTGTTTCTCCGCCGCTCCAGTGGGGTCGGCTGAGATCATGTTGAAATTAGAAATTTTAAACATTTCAATCCCAGCAGATTTCAAGAAGATCTTTTATCTCAGCCATGGGATCTTTTAGACAGCGAGGATGACGTAGACTCTAAATGGTGTTTGTGGAAAACTTTGTTTCTGGCAGTTCTTGATGTGCATGCCCCTCTTAGGATGAAAAGAGTAAGAACCCGAAGTAATATCCCTTGGTTGAATAAAAATTCTAAAAAATTAATGTTTGAAAGGGATAAACTTAAATTGAAGGCAATAAAATCCAATTCCACTTTAGATTGGAATGCATACAAGACGGCCAGAAACGTTGTTTCATGCACTTTACAAAAGGATAAGCAATTATATTATAGTAATTTGCTTTATAAATACAAACACAATCCGAAAGAAAGTTGGCAAACTATAAATCGAATCCTTGGGCGAGGCCATAATAAATAAATCCTTTATATCTAGCATTAGACAAAATGATAACATTATTTCTGGTTCTAATGAAATAGCTGAGACTTTCAATGAATATTTTTCTACTATCGGAGACAAAATTGCAAATTCCGTTGATTCTGGAAATACTCACATTAGTTCATACATAAGTAAATCATCCACGACTTTTGAGTTTGATACTCTATCCGTTGATAAAGTTTTACATTCATTTCATGCTATATCCTCCTCTAAGGCAATCGGAGTTGATAAAATTCCAATGAAAGTATTGAAACTTTCTATAGCCATTATAGCGCCATCTATGACTAAATTCTTTAATTATGTAATTCAGAATGGGGTCTTTCCTCGCGATTGGAAGGTAGCCAAGGTTATACCTCTTCATAAGAAAGGTTCCAAAAATTTGTTGGATAATTATCGCCAAATCTCTATCCTTCCAGCTATCAGCAAGGCCTTTGAAAGTATACTTTATGAGCAACTACATGGCTATTTATCCAATGCTAGCATACTTTCGAAATGTCAATTCGGTTTCAGACGATATCACTCTACAACTACGGCTCTTCTTGATAGCACTAATCAATGGTATTCAAATATGGATAAAGGTTTGCTTAATATTGTTGCTTTTTTAGATCTTAAAAAAGCTTTTGATACCATTGATCATGAAATCTTGATTGAAAAGCTAAATATGTATGGGGTAAAACGGCATTCATTGGGGTTACTTGAATCATACATAACAAATCGGTCACAAAAATGCTTTATAAATGGTACATTATCTCATTCTAAACCGATTACGTGTGGAATTCCTCAGGGATCGATTTTGGGGCAACTATTCTTTTTAGTGTATATTAACGATCTGCCTAATTGTTTAATAATACTGTACACCGAGGATGTTTGCAGATGATACGACGCTCACTGTGTGTGGCAAATCCACACATGAAATTTCGTCTGCTTTGAATCATGATTTAAATAATGTTAACGATTGGCTAATGGCTAATAAGCTTTGTTTGAACCTTAGCAAAACGGAATATATGCTAATAGGATCCAGGCACAGCATCAATAATCTTGTTGATAATCCTTGTATTTCTGTTGATGGTAAACTTTTGAACCGACTGATAGTGACTGAGTCTCTAGGAATTCATATTGACCAATTTCTCTCTTGGGATTTTTATATTGAGAAATTGACAAAGAAAATTGGAGCTATTTCTAGGCTAAAACCGTTTGTATGCAGAAATACTCTTATTTCTGTCTACAACGCTTTAGTTCAATCATATTTTGATTATTGTTGTGAGGTGTGGGATCCGATTGGCAGTGTTTTATCTGATAAATTGCAGACTCTTCAAAATCGGGCAGCAAGAATAATTATGGGTTACCCAAATGAGCACGGATGCTCAGAAGCTGCTTTGACTGCGCTCGGATGGAAAACACTTATTAAAGGAACGTCGATTTGAATCTAAAGCCAGACTCATGTATAAGATTATTCATGGTTTTGCACCTACTGCACTTACTGAAATATTTTCTAGTGCTTCAGTTGTCAGATCTCATGACTACAATTTATGTAATTCTGACATGAAGCTCAATCTTCCTTTTCCTAAAACGGAATATTTAAAAAAGAGTATAAGTTTCAATGGTGTTAAATTGTGGAACGATTTACCTATTGAAGTTAGAAACGCGGAAAGCCTAGGTATTTTTAACTCGCTTTTATGTACAACTAGCCTGTCACGATCTACTAGTTTGTAAATATTTAACTTTGTATATACGTGTCTTGTTGTTTATTATGTGTTTTAAATATTTTCACCACGCCCCCCTTGGAAATCAATTTGTATTGAAGGGGTTAGCGTGTTTAAATAAAGTTTTACCTACCTATCAGTCTGCTATCGCAGACTAGGTTTTCGAAATATTTTGACCAAAAACAGTGTGCAGTCCGCCATCTTGGTATTATAATTGATCTAATTAGCTGAGTTTTTGATGACGTCACAAGCAGGGTAAACTTGCTAAAACTTCTTCAGTGTGGGCCTAAATTTCTTCGAAAAGTTTCTGTGAGTTAATTGAGTGCTATAAAAAGACTTCGGAAAATCGAGTTTCATGTTGATAATGACATGTGGTTTGCATGATAAAAATGTCGCTTTTTACCCTACTTGTGACGTATGCATATCGAATGATATCCAGATGGCGGAATGCGCGCTGCTTTTGATCAAAATAAGTCGATTCATTTTCAAAAGAAAACCAAGCAAGATACGGAATAATTGTACAGAAAGTTTATATATCATTTTAAATGTTCTTTCAAATAAGACAAACTTAATGGACCTATTCCCTAATGAACAAAATTTTGATCTAGACAAGTCTAGACAAACATTTCACCACAGCTTGAAAGAGCATCACAAAAATGGTAATATTCCGACGTTTCGTTGCAAAATGTTGTAAAATGCGGATAGTATAGCACTGCGAAGTTTGCCGTTTTTCAGTCATTTTGTATTACGTATTTACGCACGGGAAATTGATACCGCTTTCTGAAAAAGGTAACGTATAAGTATAACTGTAAGCTTGACAGTTTCTTGTTGACTTTATACATATTCTTGATTGCGCATAAATAGTTCATCTTCACAATTTGTAAATATAACCGATGACATTATATTAAAAAATACCACATGAACATTAGATTTACTTGCACTAAGGGTTTAAATCTAAAAGCTTTTAAAGGTTTTTCTAGATAGATCTTAGTGATGTAACTATTAAAAAATGAATGACATGAGCGTTAAAAAAGGTTATAATTGAAGCACGGGTACCATGCATGAGAATAATCTCACGGCTTCTTTTCAGACGATGTCACCTTGCTGTCATTACGAGGAGATGGGCGGTGTATTTGCTCTGATAATCGAAAACCACGCGGAAACTTATCGCCTTCGTTTCTGCGTGATGAATTTTCAGGAAAAATGCTCAATTCAAAAATGGTTTGTTAAGCTTGGATCTTGCATGTCCGCTTTCTTTCAAATTTTCACAGAAGGCGCACAAGAACCAAGGCGAATGTGGGGAAATGCTAGGAAAATCAAGAAAATTCGGGAAGAGTTATGAGGCTGACACGCCACTATCGGATGGCCCTGGGGACGAGGTTGAAAAACCCGTAAATCAGGGTGAATATCCAATCTCGTTCCCCGAGTCTGCGATCCTCGGGAAGGAACGCGAGGCTCTGGGATAATCCGTTTCAGGGAGGAATCTGATTGGCCGTTGAAATGGAATGCGTAGTTCAATCTTAGCCAGAATTCCTGGCTTCCGGCAACGGATTATCCCAGAGCCTCGCGTTCCTTCCCGAGGATCGCAGGCTCGGGAAACGAGATTGGGTGAATATTTAGAATGAGACAAACAATTGATCACATGCAAAAGAAGGAAAAATATTGCTTACCTAATTCTCGTGTTTTAAACAGTAGGTATATGGTAATGTTAAAATTAAATTAATATGTTTCCAAGGTTGGTACAAAGTATCAGTTTCTTTGTACGTATCTCCTTAGGGCGTGCGTCTCAAATAGCCCCTGACAACCAAGTGCAGCTCGTGGCCTTCCCGCGGCGGAATCGTTTCTACTGACAGGAGAAGCAACAAATTCATGTGTATATTCTACAGCGTCAAGAATCAGTTGTTTTACATGAGTCCAGTTTTCCACTGGGCGCGAATGATCCTTTTTCGCGGCGAACTGTCAGTGTTCGAACGTACGTTCAATGACCTTCAATTATTCACGGAAGTTACTATGAATAGTATATACCACAACAAAACAAAAATGACAAAAAATACCCAACTAGAATATTTTAAAATTAAAACAATTTGTACTTCAGCTTCCGTAATAGTTGCAAACAGTATTTCCACGCTTTTAGTAATTTTATTCAGGAAATAGCTTCAAAAGAATACCTCTAGACACTGTTAAACGAAACCTTGCGGCTTTCTTCGTGTTTGGTTAACGGCAGCTTCGTTTAGTAACAAAAATATGCTCGTCTGTAACCGGAAGGAAACGGGAAGCCATTTTGTTTTTTCTCCAGAGGTGAATAGTGTAGGGATTTCCGGAACTGAGCAACCAATCAAATGGCGGGAAAAGCACTATCCACCTCCTGAGTATGCGCTAAATGTAGTTTTAAATCCTCGTCTTGCTCTATCGAGTAACATAGTGTTAAAATCACATGATCGGATTTATTTTTTCATGCGGGGGTTGAGAGGGTATAGCTCGAGTAGGAGAAAGTTAACCCAGATTTTAAACCTGTGCAAATCTTTGACAGGGTGAAGAGGTTATTAATTTATAGAATAAAAATGCGATTTTTAAGCTAGTGTGTATATAGAAGTCCATTGCAAAAAAATTGGCTTACTGCTTCTGCATGGAACGTTATTGACTTAGTTCTCGCAGCAATGTTCATCTTTTTGCCTTGTCCTAAACGGTATTGGCTTACTACTTGCACATGACACAGTTTGATAAATATACCGTCTTTCCAGTCGAATACACTTCGGGCAATATATAGTTGTTTGAACATCTGATTGAATATATTATTGTAATTACAGTACCGTATATTACGAAACGGAACACAACAATGTTTTACGTCAGTCTTCAAGACTCGTCTTTTCTTCGTAAGGAACGACCAACAAAAAACTGAAAAAGCGATAAAATTGAAACACTGCAGATGGCTGAAAATTGCCAACTGATATTTTCAATTAAAGCGGTAAATTATAGTGTAATCCAGAAATAAAATAATTATTCAGGTGGGCAGGGGCGGGCGCAGGAAAAGGCTCAGGCGGATAATACTATGCGGGCATAAGAACGACTTGGACATAAGGACTTGGGCTTCCTGTGGAAACATCACAATTATTTTCTTCAAACCAACTTCGATATGTAAGCATGGACCTTTATCAGTGCAAATAACTAAAATGAGGTTGAACATGATATGAAGAATTATTAAGCCCGACGTTTGTGTTATCAAACGAAGCCGAATGCTGTGTTTTTTCAAATGTAACGGCGTCTTTTTTGGCGTTGAAAATGGCAAGGCAAAATTTCGAAAACCGAACATTTTAGCACCAAAGCATGGCGGTTGATGGCGTCATTGTGGCTACAATCGTTTGGCTGGCATCCATTCAGTCACAGAGTAAAGACATACTCTGTGATTCAGTGCTGCATGGCCACTTCCGTGATTTGTGCATTCAATAGGAGGTTTATCAATTACACAGGAAGTAATCAAATTTTCAAAGGAATTGGTGAGCAAATGAATTGGTGGAATATTTTAGAAACTAATTAGATATTTCCATTGCCACGAGTCCACGACTGCAATGATTAATTATTATTTGCGGTAAAAGTCGTCGGTAAACATGTAATATGTTCAATACATTACTTTTCTCAACGCAGCAAATGCAGGTCCAAATTGTGTATGTGTCTGCAGGCGAGAGCGAATCCACTCGGGTAATTTTGTCTGCACACTTGTACGACCATATCGTTTATCAAGCAAAACTATTGTTGAATAATCATTAATATGGCGGATTGCTCGACCTATGAACAATAAGAACAAACTCATAGCAACATACACCAAAGGTAAAACATTAATATAGTTCTGTATATGTGTAGGTAATATTACGCCTGTTGATGGAAATCGCGAGTGTGAATTTTATAGATTTATTAGAGCTAACCATGCAGGAGCAGTTGCAAAAAATGCAACTGCCCTGTGATACCGGTGCAGCGCTCTAACCAACTAAGCTACAGAGCCCAGTTGTCGAAACCGCAAGTTCATAACTGAGGTGATGCCAATGCAAGGTGTATGGGTTTGCGAGTGTAAATTTTATACATTTATTTATTATTTATTATGTGCACGAGCAAACATATATTATTGCTTATTAATAATAATATACATGACCCAAATTGCACGAGAAACCTTACTATTTATTACTTATTAGTAGTACATATAAAACAGTTATGCAGAAGCAAATTCATGGTCACTTGAAACACATGCGAAATAAATAATTTACTGACTCATTTAATGACACAACAACTTAATACAAATTTTCAACTGTCAGAAGTTAAAACTTAATCAAATTTTTTTTTTTGCGCTTGCTACGTCTTTCACTTTTGGGCACTGTATTTTTTTTGGCAATCGGGCAATTTTTTTCATGTATATTATTATTTCTGTAAAGGTATCAACTATCAACGAGTAGAGAAGGTTTTTCAACAGATCTTTATTTTTACTATGAGGACATGCGACCAAACGTTTAACATTACGTTCAGCTTTTCTATATTGTTGCATGCCGCCTTGTATTAAAATGATTAAACAATATAGCTACATAATAAACTTTACCGATTGATTGATTGACAGCCTTCATACACACATTTTCACAGTGTTGTTGTCCAGCTTTGTGCTTGATAAAAACAAGGTTGGAAAAGTACTCAATTTATTTGGTGAAAATTCAATACAAGAGTAAAGATGTATTAAAGATGGGAGGGAGGGGAGAAGTTTCAGCTTGCACAAATTCTTTCGACCGTTTGCTTGTAATGGAATTTATTTGCGGAATTTAAAAGGTGCGCGAATATTTTCTTGGGGGAATATTTTTTCTTTTGTGTGAATCACCCCCCCCCCCCCCCTAATGGTCCGCCCCTTACACTACAAGTCCAGGCCTGGTCAATGAGCGTAAGCCAAATTAAGCCAACGTTATATAAATATTTGCTTCCAATTTAACTACGATGTACCATGAGCTGACACTTATCTTATAATATGTTTCACCACGAATAAGAGTTCGACATGCAGATATTAGGGGTGCGAATTTCATGCGCATTTGCTCAATAATAGTCTATTTCAAGCTTTTCCCAGTTTTCTAACATCTTTGTTGCAGCTTTCGTACACAGTGCATGCATCGACCAAGGTTTCCACACTTTATTGAATATGAAATTGAAGGACTTTCCTAGGGTATTTTTTAAAAAGAACTTTTTCAGTGAATTCAAGGTATAGTACTTCTCTATCCCTGCTCTTTACTTTTGTTGTGAATTGGGTAGCAATGATTTAAACAACGCTAGCTAATATTATTATTTATATTGGGCAGAAAAAAATTAAATTTGACCGACTTTGCATGATCTTGACTCCAACCTATTGTGATTCACAACCCTAACCCTATTGAGCACGAAACATGTCGGAAACGTATAATTCTACTCGACAAAACTGTTTATTTTAAACTTAAATTCATGAAACTCCCACATTTGATTTATAAAAATCTCTCACTGTTTTGCTTTTTCTCTCATCCTGAGCCCCCGATCCTAGTGCCAGCGGGCTCTTTTGTTCGCAATACTTTATATAAGTCTTAATAACTATCTGTAATGTCAATAATGTCTAAAATTATCTACAAACATGAGAATATAACCTGCAATACGTACAAGCTTCATACAGTTTCATCCTGCATATAGATATATCTAATGTTAATTTGCTGCAATAAAATATGACAATTTATATACTTACACCTAAAGTGGCATCGAGATATGAGATATACTCCTTAAGTTCTGGTGACTGAATATTTGGGAAGGGCAGGCCAACTACCACCACACACCTTATGAAAAACAAATACAAAGTTAATTATACAAATCTACTGTATGATCACATCCAGGGAAAATTCACATTTGCAGCCAGTCCGTAAAGCTTAGGGAAGACGTGAAGGAGTAGATTACTTAATGCTGTTGTTATGAGATTTGACAGCCTGGAACATTTATAACTCATCCACTCTTTCACAACCTCCAAAAGGAGAAAATCACAACTAAAATCGCAGCAAAAATCGCCCGTGTAAACGGGCCTTTAGAGCTGGTTCAAAATGTTGATCAGAGTTTTTGCTACGCATAGTAATATCCATACAATCAACCATACCTGTAGATTTTATTTTTGTGGAGGTAGCCAATCTTCAAATGGAGTTAAGGCGGTTTTCCAGTCCTCGCACGAAGCTCCTCGCTGCGAGTGCATGCATGAGCACTTTTATCCAATCACAATGCAAAACAGTTGATTTTAATTAGATGCAAGCACTCGCAGCGAGCTGCAAGGAGCTTCGTGCTAGGACTGGAAAACCGCCTTTAGGCTATGCCACACTCTCGTACCCACAGCCCGTCTTACACACGGTCAACAGAGCATGACGATGGTCGAGGTTTCAAGAATGGGTCGCACCGCAATTGCAAGCAGATCAAAATTTAGCCTCTGAACGAGAACAAAATTTTTGGAGTTAGCCAGTAACTCCAGGCTTAGATACTTAGCTTTTTCATGATTTTTGGAGCTATACTTAGCTCTAAATTATTTTGGAGTTAGCCAGTAACTCCAGGCTTAGATACCTACCTCCTAAATGATTTTTGGAGTTATACCTACTAGCTCTAAATGATTGTTTCAGTAACTCCACAATTCATATTTCAACTCAGTTTGTTTTGAATTACACAAGTTACTCAAGTGTATATTTTGGTTTGGAGTTGGCCCTTTAGACTTTGGAGGTAGCGTTGCTCCATTGCTTCCTACATTCTGCAGCCATGCAATCAACTCCCACGAACTTTCGTACGACTTTTGTTTTCATTTGGTCGCGGCATAAGAGTAGAGAAAACTGTGAGGAAAACTTTCCCATATAGCAAGTGTGGATGTCTGATCATCCATATTTACCGCTTAGAGCTAAGCTGAATTGAGCAGCTCAACCTGATCAAGTCGAATGCTTTCTATGGGCGCCTCTGGCAGCCAAAACCTTATGACTTATGTCTGCATGATCACAATTCACAAAGCACAGCTACATGGAAGGGTCAGTTAGGGGCTAAACTTAATCCATCCTGTCAACATTCCCTATGGGAGGAAACCGGAGTACCGAGAGATAACCCACCACTTTCGGTAGAGTAATGATTGACTTATGAATGTCTTAAGTTCGGAACGAGAATTGGACACACGATGTCAAAGGCGAAAGGCGCTTGTTCTCATGCTTGCGTCACCGAAGTCGCTTATACTCTCGTGAGCTCTAATGCCCAGGGCTTTAACAAATATCCACAAGTATCTTGAACAAATGCGTACAATCATACACACGGAAGGAAAGCTTTTAACTACGAAATCAATCACTAAATTTTCTGTTCTGCATTCATCACTTAGGAACGAGCTTGAACAAATACAGCCTAAACCATGCTTATATTTATACACCGAACGTATAAAGCTAAACAAATGGTGCCACACGATGACTACATGCACAACAAAAGTTTCGGCCCCATCACAACGTACAGAACTGGTCAAACGTTTTATAGAACACCCTATTTTTTGGCTGTTACACAAATATAGTCATATCTAACTCAAAATGCGACTAATTTAAATGATAATTTAAAGGTGATCTACAGTCCGTATGTAAACAAAGCTTTTGTTTACATTTTTGTGTCCAAAATATTGAGCTTTATTCGACAACTATTTATATTTTCAAGCTTCTAGAGTATAATAAATGATCAAGAAACAACAATCAGGCTTTCCAAGAACTCAAAACATAGTTGTTTAACTATGTTTTGAGTTCTTGGAAAGCCTGATTGTTGTTTGTATCATAAAAAGTGGGCTCATTTGTGCACATGCGCAGATCGGACTGTAGATCACCTTTAACATATCATAGGGCGAGACATTACCCACTCATTGTTAGTTTTTGAAATTAGCATTGTAAACCGGAAGTACAGTCATCACCAAATGTATGGAATTTACTACTTTTTCAATTGTGACCATATTCACCCGATTATTATTTTTGCACGGCGATTCTATTGCAAGGTGTTTGTATAGTATTTCAGGAATATGGAAAGCGTTTGGTGCAATGGGTAATTTTCAAATTTGGTCAGAAATAAATCAACTGAAAAAATCACAACTATTGAAAACCTCACAACTCGGTTTATTTTGGTTATAAATTATTGAGTTATAAATTTTTTTTATATTTGGCTGAAATCAAAAGAAAACAACTCACAATACATGCTTAAAGAGATAAAGAAGAATGATAAAATAGGATTGTACAAGAACTTGAAAATGGCGATTTGTTTTCAGTTGAATATCTTTTGATCCAATGAAAAAACTGTGCATCTCATTACCGAAATTATTCAATACTCATGAAAGACTATATTTTGCCAAAAACAGGGTATTCTAAAAGATTTTACCAGTACTATATAGACAACAATACCTTCCCAAATCATCGGAAAAGTTTATTCCTTCACTCATCTTCCCACCAACGACACAAAGCAATATGGCGCCATTATGAGAAGTTGAAGTTTTGTCTTGACTTGATTGAGTTATCTATATAAATATATGGAGGCATCACTATATGGGTCTTATAGTTGTCATATGCAATAGAGGTGCCAATATGAGAGGAGAACAAAGTTGTCATAAATACAATCATTATATTCGTATACTTATATCTTAAATGACACAAACGAGTTGCGATGTTTCATATCCATGTAAAAACCTTATGCCAGTCGTACAGTATATAATACTATAGTGTAATAGAAACGAGATGATAATAAAATCTTTCCATATTACATTAATCTCTATATATAGGATGCAAAATAGAGTCTTGTAAATCAGACATACATCATGCACAGTATATATACAAGCGTAATTTTGATCTCAATGCCCCATGCTCATGCAGATCACAGTTTAAGATGTGGTATACAGCGGAGACCATTTCAAATATATACTTATACCTTTATAAATTTACCATAATCACCCAGGGTCTGCTCCACCTGAGCTGCCTTTTTTGGTTCGGAAAAAATCTAGACAACGAGAGCACATTTCATCACATGAATTTTTACTGTTTGGTCGGGTTTTTTCTTTCCTAGTTTCCAGTGATGAATGTTTATTAGATCAAAAGTTTCAATGGAAAAGTTATTCCAAATGCCTTGTTCCAAAACGCTACCAAAACTATATATATATATATATATATATATATATATATATATATATATATATATATATATATATATATATATATATATATATATATATATATATATGTACGCAGTAGCATAGTAAATAATAATCTACAGAATCTTGGATAGGAATAGAACTAGAGAATATGAAGAAGAATGCATTAATTTTTAATGTTAACTACAGTATCTTGTGTATTAGGAACCATGGCAATTCCAGATCTCTGACCACAAGGAACAGCATTGATGCCCTGTTAGGGCAGGATTACGGATTACTCCTCATGGCGCGTGAAAAAATTGATTATGGATTATTTGGTATAGGATTTTTGGATTATATATGGATTATTGTGCAAATCTATTTTTAGGGATATATTTAAGTTTAGAAAAGTCGGATGCAGATTATTTTAAAATCTTATCTGGGATTATGGATTATTCTGGATTCCCCTAACAAGCCCTCAATAATAGCCAAATTATTTTCTCTCAATAATTAACCAATAACCCATGGTATATATAAATTACCCTTAACACCCCAAAATAACATCATTACAAAATTACCGTGCGATGTAAAAATAATGTAACAGTTTCGCAAGCACACAACTTCATGTACTTGAAATTTACGGACCTTCTTTTTGGCATCGATCTTTTGAAATGCACCACTTTGACACCACTCTTTCACAACTTTCTCTTTATACTCATAGGATGGGAAAAAGCAAACCAATCCAGCTGGAACCACCATGCAAATGTTGGAAAGCACACGACTAACTTCTGAAATCTGGAAATTTAAAAAAATTGATGATTAAGAAAACAAAATAATAACACGTTTAGCGATCATATTTCGCATAAAAGTTAGAAACAAGGGATAACAATGTCAACAAACGTCAACAAACACGAAAATCACTTACAACCAACTAATACACAGTGTTCTTGGTCGCTCCTTGTTAGCCTCGTAATCTGAACTCTCTAACACTGCAGAGAACAACAAAAAATTCGATGTCCCCGAGCGCGATCCGAAACACCTATTACTGCTGCTCTATACAATTGAAACACTGCACGTCCTCCTAGAGAAGCGTTGAGTCATCACGAAAATATTAAGTGCACTTAAATTCTATAAAACACGCTACCAATCCCTGTTGACGCGATAACTCAATGGGAAGAATGAAGACCAGCTCATAATCATTATAGATTTAAATCATAAGTGAAAAGTGCAAGGATACCCTTCAGGGAAAATATTTTAAAAACAATTTGTATTTATACAGCTTGCACAATAGTTGAACAGAAAACAGTATTTACAAGCTTTTAGTAATTTTACTCATTAGGAATAATCTTAAATAATATCACTAAACCCTATAAACAAAAATTTGTAGCTTTCTTTCTATTTGTAGCTTCGTTTGGTAAAAACATTTGCCCGTTTGTAACCGGAACGAAACGGGAAGACATTTTGTTTTGGTCCGGAGGTGAATAGTGCAAGAATATATCTGGAGCTGAACAATCAATCAAATTGCACGAAAAGCACTGTTCACCTCGAGAGTATATGCTAAACACAGATATCGAAAGAAATAAACTACGTTCCAACATATCACCTGTTCGGACTGACATGATCTCATAGCTCAGTTGCATGGTAGAGCATTGGAGGTCGAGGATTCCGATTCCCACCACGCCCACGGTCAAGATAGTTTTTAGCTTCCAGTGTAGAGTCATTCAGAATAGCGTCATCTACAAAGTCTAACTCGTAGCAGCCTAGCACAATTTGGACTTTAAAGCCATACTACGGTAGTACACTTTCCAGAGTGTGCGAAACAGGCTGATATGCAAAGGAATGTAATCATACAAGTCTTACCATGGCCTTACAATCTCTTGATTGATAAGTAAAATCCAGTTCAACTCCAGATGGTCCTTTGGTCAAAGCAACAGCCAACAAATGATCTGCGGGAATGATATGACCTGTAAATAAAATTAGAACAAGATGTCATTGTGTATATACAATAAATACTATATGTTTCTATGTTGGAAAATTCATGAGCAATTTAATACGTGGTATGTACCCTTGTAACCCATAAAAATAAATAAATTAAAATGCTAATTAGTTACCGGTTCAAGTACACTCACTAATGGTTGTAACTGTTCTGTTATAACGATTACGATTGGCATTTCTATAGCGCAAATTTACATATCAATATGATCAAATGCGCTCAGGCCTTAAAATATTGGTCGGTCACGGACATTGTCCGACCCATTGGTGAAATTATCCGACGTAGTGAGGAAACCACCGGTCATTCTGTCCGACCAAAGTGAAACTGAGGTTTATCGTTTGTCCGACCCGAGTGTATTGGTGTCCGACCGAACGGTAGCTTTGTCCAACGTCAATCAAAGTGTACCCTAGTCCAGGACTAGAGGCTCGACTATGTTAAATGGAAAATCAGAGTGATGTATAAAAAGTGAACTGGAAATGTTGTTCTAAGTTAATGCAATCGAGGGCGGGGCGAAGAGCGAAATGGTGAAGTGGAAAACGGGCTTATTGCTTAAGGTGACAAAGTGTTTCCAAGTTAATTTAGCTTGGAAATAATTCAGAATTAATACATTGTGCTGATATTAACTCGTGTCATTTTGACTTATTTCCGAGCCAAACTGAACTGAAGGTCATCGGTCTATAATAGAGACCTTAAGATTGACGTTTACGGCAAACGTCAAACCGCTAGCGAAGTTTTTGATTTTACAACTCTATTATAATAGCTTTTACACCAGTTTTGAAATATTTTAGACTTATTAAACTTGTGCTCTTTAGCAATGATTTAAGAAAGCAAATTAACCACAAATCATGCCATTCACCAAAGCAGTAAATTAAGATTTGGCGTTTGAAGTTGACGTTTGGCGTATACATTTCATGCTTTAACGACTACAAGCCCTCGTAGCAGTTCAAGCATGGAATTTATACGCCAAACGTCAACTTCAAACGCCAAATTTTAATTTACTGCTTTGGTGAATGGCATGACTAGTGGTTAATTTGCTTTCTTAAATCATTGCTAAAGAGCACAAGTTTGATAAGTTCAACATATTTCAAAACTGGTGTAAAAGCTATTATAATAGAGTTGTAAAATCATAAACCTCGCTAGCGGTTTGACGTTTGCCGTAAACGTCAATCTTAAGGTCTCTAAATAGACCTCATTACCTCGGGTCGGTACGACACCGAGGTCATAAATTCGGCTCCTATTTTTTTTCCATTTTGTGTCGAGCCGTGCGCGTAGTCGAAGAGCCTGCGGAGGAGACGACAACTTCCGGTATATAAGTGTACTTCCGGGAAATTTCAAGCATCGGCCAAAGCGAAACGAACCCGAAGCTGTCCTTGCACAAAATCCGTCAAAATTGTTGATTTAAAACCAGAAGATGTGATAATTTTGACATACATGTTTAGCCGAATAACTATATTCTCGAGTATATGTTGATATAATGTACAATACTTCGTATGCATAGCATGGGAATACCACGGCCAACTTTCACTTGTTTGATACTGCTAAGCATTTTATGGATGGTTCTTACTCTAACTGGTAGACAACAAGCCAACTGTCCACTCATTACATTTTTCGACTGTGGTACAACTATTACTAATGATGGATCAGTTATATGCACCTAATTATATTTTCGGTACTTTGATATATTTTAAAAATATCTGAAGTGACTGTCGTTCTGCTATGTGCAATCAACAAATAGACTGATAATATTGTCTGTTAGTGTTACTAAATACAAGATGAAGTAGTTATGTATATCATTCACTCGTCCACAAAATATCCCAAATAATGAATAAATACAGTTAAATAATTGCGTCAGTAAATTCTCTAAATTGTTCCTGTATTTAACTATTATCAATAAAATGTTAAAACGGAGCTTTGATTGACTGATTCACCATTTATACTAGTGAACTATTAAACTATCGTGATTTACACGATTTTTGCATATTTACCAGACGATGCCCTATCCACCGACCCGAGGTTAACGCCGAGCGGGCGTCTTGTTATCTATGTTTTTGTCTTGGTTTATGCAAAAAATGGTCGGTTCATCGTCACGTGTGTATTATTTTTCGCCCAACCAACCAATAGCAGTGTGTTCGTTTAATTACCTATAGTCGTAATACTACACAATGGTTAAATGAAAACATAGCTATTGGTTTGCTCTAGCTAAAATACAATACACACGTGACGATGAACTGACCATTTTTTGCATAAACCAAAATAAAAACAATAATAAGATAATGAGGTCTATTATGTCTCTATCGACTATGGTTCACACTAGCAATTTTATCGGCGATTTTCTCTTCCTGGAGGATGTGACTGAATCGAGTGACATGGAAAACACTTAGAAATTTATACTTCCAAAAACCGATTCCCTACTTTTGGCCGAGAGTTCACTCATTCGTATCCGTCGGGAAGAGAAAATCGCCGACAAAATCGCTAGACAGTGTGAGCCAGGCTTTACTAACCACATGAAAATTCGGCGATAACCCCTGTGGACAATGAGCATGAATACAACAATTGTTGTTTAAACTCTGACACCTAATAATTTAAATCGAGAAAAACATATATAAGCTAGCAGCACTCAATGACTGCATACCTCCACTAGGAAATGTTGAATATTCATAAATCATATATGCACTAATTACGGATTCAGTTCTTTTCAACCCAGAAAAGCAAGGCGAACGTTTCTAAATTTCTTATCCAATCTTCATCCTAGCTAAACTGAAATTTCATCATTTTTTCCTCGACCTGTGACCATTAGCTGCACAGCTTTGGTATTACGGTATAACTATATGTGATTGTTTTTCAATTATCCTACTGTCAGGCAAACACATACAAGAAATTAAACCAAGGCAAAAACATAACTTTCTGGTGGAGGTCAGTAGAAGGTTTACAAAATTCTGCCGTTCCACACACACATGTGCGAAGTTGTCATACCGGTTGCATAGTTCCACCAGCCACAATCACTGCCTTGGCTTCTTGGACAACACTTTTGAAATAAACAGCAGGATTGAGGAGAAGAAATTTGAGGCTGCACCGACTAAGCATGGCTAAAACATAACATAACAATTAGACATCGTATACGACTTTCTTATCTATAATACATGTATGTACCTTTAAGCCTGGTTTACACTGTCAAAATTTCTGTGATCACAGTCAGTTTTGCATCGGTAAATTTTAAGTTTTGAAGAATGGACCATTTGCATTATAGACTAAATTTTGATCTAGACAAAAGTTTCATCACAGCTCGAAAGAGCATCACAAAATTAGTAATATTCCAAAGTTTCGTTGCGAAATGTTGTAAAATCGGATAATATAGCCTTGCGAAATTTGAATCAATTTGTATTACAAACGGGAAATTGATGCCCCAACACCCGATTGGGCAGTTAATTTCCCGTGCGTAATACAAAATGACTGAAAAACGGCAAACTTTGCAAGGCTATTATCCGCATTTTACAACATTTCGCAACGAAACTTTGGAATATTACTAATTTTGTGATGCTCTTTCAAGCTGTGATGAAATTTTTGTCTAGATCAAAATTTAGTCTATAATGCAAATGGTCCATTGTTTGAGGGAACTGGCTCATGCAGTATTTAACATTAAATCTCAAACTCATTAATAATATATTTTGCTCACATGATAATACTGGATACCTTATAAAGTCTATTGATCCAGTCCTAGGACTGGATCAAAATTAATAGGGGATTCAAGGTTTCCAACGCCATAACGACACACAATAGTGCAAGCGGTCCAAACACAATGGAATTCCCTTTTGGTAAATTTGCAGGGGGTGCAAACACAAAGGTGAAAACAATAGATTCAAGATGGCGTCGCGGAACCCTTGAATCCCCCTATTCAGTCCCTGGACTGGATCAACATTAATCAAGTGGTGATTTATTCGTATGAGATGTCATTTCAAATCCTCCAATTCGGACTGGACTAGATGTCAAGTCCTCGCATTTTGATCCAGTCCTCGGCTTCAAATTGCGCGGACTTGAAATATCCTTCAAAACTTAGAATTTACCTATGCAAAATTCCTAGTGTGATCACAGAAACTTTGATAGTGTAAAAGTACTTGATCGATTTTGCTAAAAAATTATGTCTGAATTTCAAAGACAAAATCAAGAATTTTATGGGGTGAGGTTATTGGATCTTGGTGGCAGTAGATAGATCAACTTTATTTAGGCACACTAATCTCATTCAACATTATGCTGATTTCCATAAGAGGTGTGCTGGCTAACTATTACAACTAATTAACTATTATAACTAATTATTATAACTAACTTACTAATACATACAAACTAGTATTATATAAATGCTATTAAATATTCACTAAACTAAACTACTTAACTTAATAATTGGGAGGCCGAGGAGAAAAGTTTTTTACAAAACGAGTTGTAAGATATCGAATTTCGAATATTTTCTGGTATTCTATTCCGTAATTTAGCCCCACTGTAACTGAAACTTTTTAAAAATTCTGTCCTGGGCCTTGGAATAAAAAGCCTAGTTGAAGAACCTCTTAGATTATAATTATTAACAGTGTTGGAAAATTGGAAAATGTTACACAGTCTTTGTGGAGCTAATTGATTTACTGTTTTATACATGAGTTTGGCCTTCATTAATGCTCTACGTTCTTCAAGAGATGTCCAACCGAAAGCAGTACGAGCTAAGAAGACTGTCCATGCTCATTTTTTAAATTCATAATTAATCTAGCCGCTCGATTCTGCAATTTTTGAAGACGTTCGCCGAGGCCTTTGCCAAGCTCATCCCAAACCCCACAACAGTAATCAAAATGCGGCTGGATCAATGCATTGTACATCAGCACTGATGTATCTCGGTCGACAAATTCTTTAAGTTTTTTTTTAACGCACCAATCCCCGAAGACACTTTACTAGCGATATCTTCGCAATATTTAAGCTAAGTTTGTTTGAAGACAACCACACTTTAACGTTTTTCAAGTCCTTATTCGCTATCTCTTCTGCTTCATTTAATGTTTTGCCCACAGCTGTAAGGCTGGTATCATCTGCAAACATCCTCGCATGGTGTTGTATGTTTGAGACAATTTGGCAAATCATTTATATAGATATAAACAGAAGAGGGCCAAGTATACTTCCTTGAGGGATGCCGCAGGCTATTCCTCTCTGATCTGAAAGCATTCCATTTATCCGACATCTCTGTGTTCGATTTAAGTAATTACTCAGTAAATCTAGAGCTTTATTACCAAAGCCTTACCATTCGAACTTACGTAAAGGAATTTCATGATTGACAGTATCGAATGCTTTCTTTAAATCGAGAAGAACAACTATGTTGTATAGGCCACGGTCCATGTTAATATACCATTCATTAGTACAATCTAAAAGTGTGGTAGTTGTGGAATGAAATTGTCTAAAACCAAACTGATG